ATATGATCTACCAATTCTTTGTTTTTCTCCAGACAAAACACCAGGAGAATCGATAAAGGTTAAATGTTCAAGAAGTGGAAGATTACAGAATGACCCATTAAATTTAGCCATAAAATCATTACCAAACTTAGATAATGAAGTAAATGGTTTATCTGATTGAACACATAATGTATTACCTGGGATATTAGTAGAATTAGGTCCATGCATAATTGCCATAAAACCATCAGTAGTTGGTTCAGGACCAATATGAGAGCCAGGATAATCATAGTTTAATAAATAATTAATAAAAGTAGTTTTACCAGTAGAATATTGACCAAGGAATAAAACCATTGGCTTAGCTTCAAAATCAGCTTGTCTCATAAGAGGAGATACTAAATAATCATATTTATAATCAGCTTCTAATTTTTTAATTTTTTCATCATAAATCTTCTTCACACCATCAATAACTGAAACATATGAAGTGTCCATTTGTGGTTTTTGTTTCTTCTTACCAAACATCTTGTTGTTTCTTTTTTAGTTTTTAGTTTTAGGCTATTTTTTTGATAAGAAGAAAGTTTTTTGGATTTTTTTATATATTTTATTTTTAGAATTATGTTTCATAATTTTGAATGTCAATAATTTATAAATAAGAAGTATAATTTATTATACTTTTAATAATTTGTTATAAAAAATATTAAATAAAAAAATAAGAAAAATTATGAAACAAAAAAGATTGTCTTATTTCATTTTGTATGCAAATTGACGAAACATCAACTAAATTACCAGCAAAAATTGTTGTTAATTCAGCAGAAATTCCAAGAACAAGAAAACATAGAAAAAAGAATTGGCAATGTACATTTGAAGGATGTACTGATCCTTTAAAAACTCGGTATAATTGTTATTCACATATTTGGGATACTCACCTTAGAAAAGTATTATGTGAAAAAGATCCAGGTCGTTATGAAGATGTTCCATATAAAAATATTCAAAATAAAGAATTAGTTAAATCTCTTTGTGAAAAATATATGACTCAACTTGTATCTGATAAAAAGAGACAAGAAAGTGATGATGAACAACTTGTTCAACAAATATCTTCTAATCCTCAACCAATTCAACACATACCCCAACTTGTTCCTGTTCTTTCTCAAATACAACCTCAATCACAAATACAACCAATACTTCAAAACCAAATTCCTTCTCAATTAACACAACCAATACAACCTCAATTATCTCAAATTGTTTTAGCACAACCTCCAAATGTAATAAATTCTTTTGTACCAAGTTATCCTCTTGTGCCTAATCAAATGCTTCCTTATCAATATCAAATGGATACGACACCACAAATTACTTCTTTTGATCAAACATTATCTTCTGCTGAACAAACAAATTCTCAAGAGGTCAAAATTGAAATGCAACAACTTCAATCTCCACAACAATCAAATGCACTTTCACTTGCATCAAATGAATGGGATGTTTTAATTAATACGGTTAATGTTTCACAATCAGCAACACATCAATTACTTTGTTCAGAATTACAAAAAGGAGATTTTTTACGTATTTATAATATATCAAAAACTCTTCATAGACTTCATGTTTATGGAGAAGTTCTTGCTGAAAATGGATATTTTGTAAGATCTGATGAGCGAACTAAATGTCATATTCGACCTTTATCAGATTGTCTTGAAAGTATTTCACAACTTGTTGGAAAACAATATCGTTATAAAAATTCACCACAACTACGATTAGGTTTTGTTGCACAAGAAGTAAAAGAGGTATTACCAGATTTAGTTCATACTGATGAAATAACTGGAACATTAAGTGTAGATGTACTTGGAGTTATTCCATTTTTAGTAGAGTCATTAAAACAATTAAATTCTGAAATAACTATGTTAGATGGAGCTAATGATACACAATTTAAATGTTTACAAGATAGAGTTGTTGAAGCTCTTAATCTAGCAGATGATTTAAAAATAAAACAAAAACAAGACTTATATGAATTACAAAAATGTATTGATAAAGCTCAAGAACCAATGTATTCTTTTTCATTTGGACCAATTCCAGTAACATTATATTTTGCAAGTATTTTAACTTTTATGAGTTTGATTCTTCCATTTACATATTGTTATCAATATATAATGTGGGGATATTTCATATTTACAACATTATGTGTTTATTTTTCTTTAATACTTGAAAGAAAAGAATTATGTGAAATGTTTAGATTTCATAGAGTTGTTTGGGAATGGAAGACTTATCATTTTATTACATTATCTCTTTTTACTTTCCTTTTTATTCTTTCATTATCATTTACTGTTATTATGGGATCTGCTTCTTTTCAAACAGCTGCAGGAATAACAGTTGTAGTATTGTTAATTATTATAATACTCATTTTCCTTCATAAAATAATAAATCTTTCATTTTGTGTTGTATCAACAATATTATGTGCATTTCTTGTTATTGGATTCATTTCTATTGGAATTATTTATGTTATACAGCCATCTTATCAACCAGAAATATTAAATTATCAGTCTGGTCAAACTTTTGTTTTAGACTCAAATAACCAATTTAAATTTTCAATAAATTCTCCTCCATTTAATTGTTTCTCTCCAAATTTCTATTCAAAAAACCTTGGTTCTCTTTCTCTTATTCAAAATTCTTTATCTGATAATGAATTTATTATTCAAGGAAATTTATCAGAAACAATTAATGATGTTCAATTTTATCTTACTTGTTCAAAATATCTGACTTTCTATTTTGGTTCATATTCAATTTCTCATTTGTAATTTGATTATTTTATTGTTGGAATTGTTTTCAAACCCAAAAAAAAAAACAAACTCAAAAATAAACTAAAAATAAAATATTTAGAGATGGCTTTTAACAAAGAAAAGAAAGACTCCACTGTTGATGATGGTAATGCAATAGTGTATCCATCTGATTATTCTCGTGCTTTAGATGATAGTTATTTATATTTTATAAATTTATTAACAAATGACCTTGAAATTGCTCGTATTTTTGGAGAATCCCTTCCTATAACTTCACAAGATTTATTTAGCAATCTTATTTGTGATTTGTTTTGTGAAGTTCATGTAATTGATGACTTCATTGAATTATTATTAAAACAAGAATTTCAAACTAATGTACTAACAGCAACTTTATTCAGAACAAATAGTTTATGCACAAAGGTTCAAACAGCATATGCTAGAAAAGAATGTCAAAATTTTATGATGGAAGTATTTCAACCAATTATTCAAAAGGTTATTGCAATGCCTCCTCTTGAATTAGACCCTATTAAACTTCAAACACTTTATCCAAATAAAACTGAAGAACAACTAACTGAAGAAGCAAATAATAGTCTTCAAAAATTAGAAGATTTAAGTGATGAAGTCATTGCAACTTTAAGAAGACATTTACGAAATACTCCAACTCCTCTTTCAGTTATGTGTCATCAAATTAGGGAGTCTTGTTTCTTATATCATACAGATGATCCTGATATTGCTCTCTCACTTATTGGAGGTTTTGTATTTCTTAGATTATTTTGTCCTGCTTTGGCTGCTCCAGAAGGTTCAAATTTATGTGGTACTGCTATTGTCCCACCAACAGCAAGAAGAACATTAATTCTTTTAACAAAAATTTTACAAAACATTGCTAATAATGTTAGAGAAACAAAAGAACCTTGGATGACTAATTCCTTACCTTATGTTATGTCAAGAGGACCTGCTCTTCAAGCTTATTTAAAAGCATTATCTAATGCTGGAATTATTAAAACAAAACCAACTATTATATTTGAAGCTTCTCAAATTAATCCACCTCTTGTTATTGAACTTCATAGACTTTTAAATGAAGCAGTTCCAAATTTAACTACTCTTAGTGAAAAAGGAGCACAACAAGTTTGTCGTAGACTCCCATGGAGTAAATGTGTAAGAAGACCATCAACAAGAGCAGTTCGTTTACCAGACCCTCAAGGCCTTCTTAAAAATGCAGATTTATTAGGACCTTCTCCACGTACTTATCAATTGAAAATACCTAAATTTATTGGAAATGCACCTACTGGCGATCCATTTAGAGATTTTCTTTCATCACAACATGTTACTGTTTATATTGGAAGAAGTCCAAAACAAGAGGCATTATGGTATGTTTCATGTGAAAGAGTTGCACAAGGAATGATGGAACGAGGATTTCTTACAGGATATACAAAATTAAAACAATTTATTCCAGACAATGAAATTATAATATGTGATTTTGCATGGGTTGTTCTTAATCAAGTTGATGCTATTGCTGATTTTGTTAAACATCTTGGAACAGGTAAAATAATAGGTATTAATGCACATCCTTCTATTAGAAAACAAATTCAAACAGCTTTTTCACAAATTACATTTGAAGAAAAAGAAGAAATAAGAAAAGCATTTGGTGATATTCCAAAAGTTCCAGAAAGTTTAATTTATGAACAAAGAGATTATCCAGTTATTCAAAAAGACAAAAAGAATGAACGAGTTTTAAGAATTGGATATACTGCAATTTATATTATTGATCCAAGGAATAGAAAAATTAGTGAAAAATTAGCATATAAAGATATTGGAGAATTTATTGGTTTTTCAAAAAGTGGAGCATTCCATATAAATCACAACAATGGATTGTATTGTTTTACTTTAAAATCTGCTTTAGAAAGAGGTCAAGTTTTAGCAGATATTTATATGGCTAAAACATCTCGTCGTTCATTATTTTCTCGTGTTGAAGATTTTGAGTTTCTTGCTACTTTAGTAGGTAAAAAAGGAGAAAAAGAAATTGAATGTACAATTATAGTAACACCGACTGCTTTATTACTTGTAAGTAATAAAATTATTGATAGAGAAATATGTTTCTGTGCTATTGATACGATTGATTGGACAGTTCAATCAGAAAAAGGAGTTTCAAGAGAAATTGTTAAAATTGAATGCCGTTCTAATAAAAAGGATGAAATCATTTCTGATATGGTCAGAATTACTGTACCAAAAGATGTTTCTGATCAATTCAAAGAAATTATCAATTCTGTTGTGATACAACATAAGTGTTAAAAACATTTAACTCGGCTATTTTTTATATGTGTGAATATTTCTTTTTTTTTTAAACTCTAAAATATAAGTAAATGTATTTCAATTAAAGTGGTTGTAAAAAGTTGGATGGAACAAATCCTCTTTTTCCATTAATTTCACCTTCAAACCATTCATCGTCAGTTGAATAAATTTTAATAATATCTCCTTTTTTAAATGATAGCTCTAAACTTTCTGTTGCATCATATGAATAAATTGCTTTATATAATTTTACTGTTTCTTCTTCTTTTTCAAATTCATCTAATTCAAGTTCAATACTTTCAACATCAGATGATTCTTCAGTTGTATCTTCATCACACTCTACAATTTCAAATTTCTTTTTTGGTGTTTCTTGTGTTTTTGAGTTTGAAACAGAATCAATGTCAACTGTTACAACTTCAAACTCATCATCTTTTTCTTGTTCTTTTTTCATTTTTTCAATTCTTGCTCTAACTTTTGGATCAAGTTGTGTAGGCTTTTTCATATTTTCTGGGTTTTTAGGAATAAGAACACTATGTCTTACATCTTTTTGTTGTGGTTTTCCATTTCTAATTTCAGATAACATTCTTGTTTGTCTGTTTTCAATTCTTTTTAAATTTTTAACAGCTCTTTTCTTTGAATTTGGTTGTTCTACTTTCTTTATTGAATTATTCTCTTGTTTTTCTATTTTGGTTGAGATTTGTGGTTTTGACTGTTCTTTCTTTTGTTCTGTTAGTGGTTGTAATTTTTGGGTTTGACGACGTTGGTTTGGTTCATCTTTCTTTATATTTAAAGCACTTCCTGGTTTTGAAACACTCGTTTTATCTTCTATCTTTGGTGGTTGTTGTTGAGGTGTAGATTTTGGTAATGGAACTGTACGACTTGTTTGTTGTAATTGATTTGGTTTTGTTGGCGGTAATTCTTTCTTAAGGGTTGGATATCTATTAACATCTTCTGGTTCTGTTATATTTACAGCAGAAGACTCTTTAACAAAACATACTTCTAATTTATATTTACCACAGTGTAAATCATTTTGTTTTTTTCTAAATACAATATCTTCAGTTACACAGGATTGATCCGGTGGAGTTATTGTATAAGTTTTTTGTGTTAATTCAGTCTTTTCCATACTGTTTTGTAAATTGAATAAACTACTTCGAGTTTCAGTTATTTGTTCATCTTCATAAATATCACTTCCAATTAATCCAATCATTGTCTCATTGTAAAATAACATAGAAGTAGAAATAATATTTTTCATATCTTCAACTAATTCAGTTCTTAAATAATTGTATAAGTCAAGGCTTCTTTCATACTTTTGTTTTGCTTGGATATGATTTTCTCCTTTTGAATTATTCATTTGATCTTGAAACCTATCACAATCACTATGTCTTACTTTTAATATTGCATGTCTGGCAGAAAGAATATTATACATTTTTTTTAATTCAAGTAATGGAGAAATTACAACTTTTTGAACTGTTTGTTTGTATTTTGAAACTGCCATACTTTCAATTTCACAAGTAGTTTTATATTTCAAAGCAGCAGAATTAATTTCAACAATTGGATCAGTTAGCTGTACTAAAGCATCAGTTATATCTATTCTTGTCTGTTGAACTTGGCTCATTAAGTCTAAATTTTTAGCAATGAGATGATACAATCTGTTCAATCCAACTTCTTGATATTTAAATTTGTTATAAACTCTTTGATATTCTACATCTATTGTCTTTTCACTCATATTAAGAGTTGTTTTGACTTGATAAATCTTCTTGCTCAATGCATCTCTGATAGACATTCTTTTAAAAGAATTTTTTAGTTTTTAACTTTTTTAAAAAATTCATAGTATATTTTTTATTTTTAGTTTTTAAATCAAGACTCGAAGGTAACATATCAGAAACACCACACAAAATTTAAAACAATTCATTTTCTTGAATCATCAGTTATACTTTAATCATAGTGCTTTCATTAGTTAGAAGTTATCTTACTTAAGAATGAAAAGAATAACAGCGATTATTATTTGAGATAATAGAATATCATTCTATTATAATAGAAGAATGAGTATTTATAATGGTGGTACTATTATTTGCTTGTGAGAATGTAGGTGTATTTGATAATATGGTATTGTCAAAGAAAAAAAGCCTTTACAGTGATAAATGAAATTAATCATAATAATATGACTGTAATGATATTAATCATTCAACACAAAATAAGAAAGTAAAGAATAGTGAGTTTTAATACACATTAAAATTCCTAGAAAAAGATGATATAATAACTTAAATGAAGAATATTTACAGTTAATGATGTTTGAAAAAAAAATTTATTTCAATCCAAACAAAAAAATAAATAAACTGAACCACTCACTTCTCAATAAGACTAAAAATTAAAGAACAAGTAAGTGGTTGATGGAAAGTCATTCATAAAGCATAAAGATGTCATTAGTCTCTGGTGAGTAAAAAACAATAGAAAATAAAGTTACTACTACTTAATTAGTCACTTTTCATTTTTGGTTAAATCCTCTTCACCTATTAAAAAGAATAAAAAACAGTTCTTAAAAATCTTTGTTACTATCCATTGAAGGTGTTGAAAAGAAAAGAACTTTAATGAAAACTAAAA